CCATATACGTATTCTTAGATGCATACAGTCTTCCAGTAATTTAATTTGTGTGTGAGCAATCTGAAAGAACTAGACACACAATATTTTAAATCAAGTGCTATATAAGTGTTATACGTTTTAAGTGCTTGCTTCAAGTACAACTACAGAATGACTACAAACCACCTGACAGTATACACTGCAATTCAGAAATACAATCAAGAAAGCCAGAGTTCACATACTAACAGCAAAGTCACTGCAGGTACACGAAGGTCATGAGTAGCCTGCACACCAGAGCTCACACGGAGCAAGCAAGCTGCCATTAATATGCCAGATGCAGCTTGCAGCCACAAGCCAAAGTTACCACAGTAAACATAGTCTGAATTTGTCCTCTGTACACTACTTACTCAGTACTCTTGCCCATGAAGTAACAAATCACTGCATTCAAGTAACTGCCTCCAGGTCCAGCATAGGTTTTGCAGCTCACTACGCTTCCGGGAATGCCTGAGAGCACCTATGATTCACTACCTATAGAAGTTGCCATCCTCCTCACCACTCCCATGTGTTCCTGCCACTGCCTGCCCACTCACATAACACTAATCTTCATCGCTGAAATGCTCAAGGTTGAAACCGACCTTTTCCAATCTCATGAAGTTAATTTTTTTTCTCTCCTGATCATTTCAGACAGGAAGTTTAAATGGTGGTCTGACAGTTCAGAGCACAAGAACGGGAGAAGAAAATGCAGGAATATTGCAATGGGATTTTCTTATCAAAGCCAATCAGTTTGCCAAATCCACCACTTCAAACATGCTTGTCAATTGTAACCTCACCTCAGTAATATAACATGACCATCACGATACATCTGTGACTGCAGATGTGCAGAAAGTGCATCTTAGAGGCATTTTTCCACGTACAGATATACAAGAGAATCATGGATCTGAACGGGACTCTGGTTTTCCATGCTGTCCTTCAATTTTTATATAGACCATTTTATCTGAAAATTCTCAGAATGGTAATTTTCAACAGGATAAATATAAGTCTTGAAAGCATATCTGTTTAGGCAAACTCTACTCTAAAGTCTCAGTTGCTTGAACTTTTGCATTTTCATGGAAAATACTTCATTTTAAAAAGATTTTGATTGTGTTTTCTTTCCACTCTGCTGTATCCAGCATCTGAGACTAATACACAGTGGAACACAGATTTCCTTTTCAAAATGCTATTCCTGGAAGCAACTTACTCGTAGCTATTCTACACCTCAGAAGCAGAAGGACATTCACCCAACAGCAGCAGATCCATACGCACCCGGTTAACGCATACTTCACGACCAGACGCGTTCAATAGCGCACTTTTCCAAGTACCAGGACTGGAACAAATACACGCAGTCTGAGCAAAGTACTACCAGCCGCAGCAAGATGAGCGAAAAGCCGTGAACGTTAACGCCCAGTTACGAGCACCCCGCGGTTACACGGGCCGACCTCCAGGTATTTCACGCCGAGCATGAGGATGCCACCCGAGCGCACCCGCTGCAGCGTGGCTCCATCCCCTCACGCGCGTCCCCCGGGGTCGGGACGGGGACTTTGACAACCGCTTTTCGGACCGGGCCAGCGGCCTGCCCGGTCCCGTCTCCCCCAGACCAGAGGCCGGGCATCC